TCGGATGAAGGTTTCGAAAATTTTATCGCGCACTCGAGAGCAATAATAAACACGGTTAAATTGGTTGCAGACCGTTTCAGTGAAATCACTAATTCATATTTGTCTTTCGCAAACGGCCATCTTGCCCGATATGTATTCATCCAATCAAGGCTTGCCCTTAATCAGAAATTAGGCAGCGTCTTCGCGGGGAGGCATCGCCTCCCTGGCGGGACATCGAATTTTCGATTTATGCAGATTAGACAGGAGTTTCCGAGCCGTTTCTCGATATTAATCCATCTATTAAACGCTTTTGTCGATCGATTCGCTCGAATGATCGAAGTAATTCATTCCCGACTCGAGAACCCATTAATCTCATCCCTTTCCTCCTCCTCATCTTTCCAAATAAAAAAAAAGAAGAAAAAAGTTTTCTTTCTCAATCGAATCGGGTATAAATAAATAATTCCATTTCTAAATCTTTTCACCTGTCCAAATATCGAGGCAACCGGGGCAAACTCTAACCACCGTCGATTCACGCCGATTTCTCCCTCCGATTCGATCGAGGGATTCGATAGCACGGAGCCACTGTATTAACCGGTAATCTCGTTACCGTATCGTCTACGAGACCGTGTGGTTAGTCGGGCTCTTTAATTAGAAATTAGACAGTCGCTTTCACCCAAGTTGGGCTCGTTCCGCCAAGTTTCCTTCGCCCCCTTCGATTCGGGGAAGGGAACACGCCCCCTGAATTTTCCATGTAGATGGAATTAGGATCGATCCACACCGGCAATGGAATTAATAAAGGAAGGGGGAAAGGCTTTACGATATTCTTTCCATTCGCTTTCCACTCGATCGAAGAAATTTTATTACCAAATAACTTGGACGAATTCGTTAATTAAATTAATCATTTGAATAATATTGGGACGCCTCTATGAGAGATCCATGTTCGAAATTTTTTAATTCACAAAAAAATATGGATTATCCTTTCCCTAAGGAAGGGATAAAAACGAGAGGGACACGTGCACGAAATCCGAGAGAGAAATACAAGAGGAGGGGGAAGAAAGAATTCTCGGCCGAGAAAAAAGCGTGATCCGCGCGCGAATCGATCAGGCTTGGGTCGAGCGTGAAACAGGTGGCCCCCCTCCCCCCGGCCATCCCAGGATTTGGATGGATCCGTCGAGTTGTTGGTAGCGGTAAATCGAGCCATCGTGGCTTGTCAGGTTCGCAACGGTGCATGCACCGTTGGATCGTGTAAGCGGCATAATCCTCGAGAAGACGACGAGCTTCTCGATAACCCGACGATGCTTGCTTGCCTCGTGGGGAAAGACGAAAGAGACGAAGGGAGAAGGTTATAATTGGCTGGAACAATTTCTCAAGAGGAATTAAATAGAAATAATTGGATATGAGGAGGAGGGGAAAAAAAAAGAGAGAGAAGCAGATTGGCTTGGATTTTTTCGAAGTGGAGATCGAAGAAGGAAGAAAGAGAAAATCGTTAATTCGCGACGATGATTTTTCTGCAACGCGAGGTCTCTCTGGATTAAAACTTGGAGGAATAAAATGGAATCGAAGGAGGAAGAAGCGAGTTGACGAGGGGGGATTAAGAAGTCGTCCTCTGGGATG